TGCAGTGCCCATGGAAGGAGAACAGCTTGTGACCAGCCATGGCATAGCTGTCTTCTTTCCTCTTGGTCACAATGAGACACACAGATCTTCCATATCGTTATGATAAGAACATTATTATGTCTCCCTGCAACATCTTTACTGTCAGTCCCACTGAACACTCTCATTCAAAAAGGATGCCGTTAATTGATTTACTTGGTGGAATACACTTTTCAATTAATGAATTAGATCAAACTCATACCTGAGTACAGTTCATATGAGCTAGTCTGTTCCCTCACCAAAGAAACAAACTTCAGCTAACACAGAAAAGCCGCTTCTTTGATTTTCACATGAAGCTCTGCAAAAACTCTCACAAAGAGTTGTTTCATAGCACAGAACCTCTGAACATGTTGTTTTTTGATGCCAGCTTAGAAAAGAAATGAAGAAGCCAACACACATTCAGACAGGATCAACAACACCAACAGCAAAGGCAGCGTGCTAGTATTTCCCTGGGCAAAATTCTCATGTCTTCCAACAAGAATTCACTATTTTTTTGTCTTTCATTGAGTTTTCAGTTTCATTCTTTAGAGAGAAGAAAGTAACGTTCCAATCGCTTCAGGTCGCTACACTAAAAGCTAAGCAAAGTCATGGCTGTAGAAGCACTGTCTTACTATAAACTGTTAAATATTACATACAGATAGCTTTTACTGTTGCACATCTACAAATACGCAGTTAGTGTATTTTAGCTGTTAAATGCTGTAACACTGTAGTCATTTCATTGCTGTCATCTGCTTGCTTTAATTACCTCCAGCCCTATATTTGAAATAGTTTCTCCCTAATACACTCTTGTGTTTCACAAAGCAGTCCTTAAAATATGGTCAGATAGCAAACAACTCTGTGAAACCTATGCTGAGAAACAGAGATCTGTCTGTGTTTTCTGGCTGACTGCAAGCTCTCACTGGAACTTCTTTTTTTCTCCTCGATGTCTTTAGAGCTTCTCTGAGGGCTCAACTCTTTGCAGACTCCCCTCTCTCACTTCAGAGCTTCCTTCCCATATTTAGGTGCACACTTTCAAAAAAGCTATAGGACATAACTGGCTTTCAGGATTCTACAACACCCCCTACGATAGGTGTAAAGATGTGGTCCAAGGATTCTGAGATCAACAAAGGTGACAGATGAGGAAAAGAGTAATTTAAATACTGTTTCAGAATTACCTAAAACATCCTTATTTAGCTTTACTTTCCACAAAGAAGTGCTTGTAATTGCAGTGTTTTACAAGAAAGAGAAAGCATCACACTAATGCACGTTTCACATCGTGAGTGCTTACAGGGCCACCTCCACGAGTAATTAACATGGGATGCAGAGTAACATTACACAGCTCTAGGGCCACCTCTCAGCACAGATAATGTACACTCAAATAAACACACTGAGAAATCCTGGCCCTATCACAGCAACAACATTTTCATCCGTGTCATTTAGAGAATAAGCAACTCACTGGTTTATATACTTCCATTACATAATCATGGATTACAGAGAAATATGTGGAATGTCCAAGATTCATTATGGCTGGTCATCAGAGAAAGAACAAAGCTTGATTCTTCTTGGCAAATTTAGGCAGAACAGTGAAACTTGAATTTAAAAATTACCATAAAAAACCCACTCCTTTTTGGTCTCATTTGTGATAGGCTAAATTCACAGAAATTTTCATAGGCATTCCCAAGACTTCCCTACCACAAGCAGGTCAGTAGCCATCTCCTTTCTAAACCAAAATGAATGCAAACACTAAGGCAGAAGTCTGCATCTGCAGGGTCCCAACCTGAGAAACAACATCAATACTGCAATACTCAAGACCATGCTGAAACAGAGAGCCATAGCCATTTCCTTTTGGACATCACCGCATTTACATTAGAGTCAGCCACGGTGTGACCCCCCCTGCAGATGACAGAGCCATCGTTGTCCTACTGTCACAAGTCAGCGCCATTTCGCTATCCAGCAAGGAGCAGCCCAGCTCCTGCTAGCACCGTCCTCACCCAGATTTACATCCTGAAGAAGCTGTGCTTTTGGCAGAAGAGAATTTAAGATGTATCAGTTTAGAAAGACGAAGGAAGAGAAAGCATCTCTTTAGCCTAATAGGGCACTCAGCTGGGAGGAAGGAGTCCTGCTCCTGATCCTCATGATGCTTCTCTATTTTCTTGGTTATTCATTTTTTGCACAGCAGGAACAAAAGGCACAGCTCTCCCCCATTCCAAGCACATCCTTTAAAACGCATTTTGGGTTGGAAAACTTCCACATTCCAATTTTTTTTTTTTTTTTCCAAGATGAACACTTATAACAGTGACCAAAGTTGTGGTTGTGTTACCTTAAGGGAGTAAAAACCCTACAGAAATACTGAAACAGAACATTTGTATAATCAGCTGCCAGGACTGGAGAGATGGAACACTAAGGATAATGCTCAGAATTAGAATCCTTATTTTACCATTGTTCATTTGGCAATTTTGCAATTCTAATTCTTTATTCCTATGGCAAACATGACAGTGATATCTTTAAATCCTATTTTCATGATTTATCTACAGAAGCCAATGCAAAAGGCACTTCTGTGGTGGCCTTTCATCTGAAAACTCCTTATACTCTGAAAATAGCAATTAATCTTCCCAACACTTAACTACGTCTTCCAGAGCATTAACAGCTTATTTTACAGGTGGTGAAGCCAAGGCAGAGGAGCACTGAGTCAAATACTCAAAGTGACATAATAAACCTATCCTGGTACTGCAAAATGTCTCTGCATGGTTGAAGTCCACATAATATTTCTTGGAGATGGTTAAGAAGAAAAACGAACCTCTTGAGATTCACAGTTGAGTTGTCATCAGAATACTATATGTTTTTCTTGATACAACACTTGCTGCATACATATGCTCAATATTACAAATCTGAATTTTTCCTGGTTTGAAAATTAGGTTTAACAATGTCTGTACCCGCATTAGCACCAGGTTACGTTGGGGCACAACATAGCAGTACTGTAAAACTTGTAATTCCAGTATGCAAAAATCAGAACTTTTTCAAGTCTTGTCAAGGCGCTTCTGCACAATTAACAACTTGGTGTCAGCAATGCTTTTTTTTTTTAATTCCTGCAATCTAATTTTGCTGCATGTGCCCATGTGTAAGTGTGCATGTCCATGCTGAAAGTGTGCATGTCCATGCTGAAGTAAATAGGCCAAAGTATGAGATAAAAAGCCCAGCATTCAGTAGTAGCATTTAATTCCCAGGCATATGTACAAAATTCTCGGGCCTTGAAAGCATTGTGTGATCAGGACAGGCACAAGCAGCAGCTCTCCCATGCTATGACTGCCATATAACATGCATCAGGACTGTCTTCCTTCTGAACAGAACCATTATTCACCTTGTAACCGACCACTGTTTATGTCACACAAATTGCTGCAGCGTAACTAAGATGATAAAAGCACAAACATGAAATTTTACTTTCTAGTTACATGACATTAGATTAGTTTTTAATTTTTCCATGCAAATTAAACAAATTTTAATATGAAACAGACAAATATATCTATATTAGGTGGTGGGCATAATTAACTAGGCTGAATTTAAGTTACATAAGCTAGTGTGACTTTTCACATGCAGAAAAGGTCTAAGTCATAGGGTATAGAAAGCTGCACCCCTACCCTGCTGCCTTTATGTGCCTTTGATGTAAACATTCACACAAATAAGCAGCTGTGTGGATAATCACGGTGCATTTCTTGCAACTATTTTTCTGGATAAATGCTTGACAGCAGAAACATTAATGGGAAGTCAGTAATATAAAGTGTGTTTCCTTCCTGTTTTTATTCAACTGATCCATAATACATTTTGTAGCATTCAAAGAATTTTAACCACTTAAATACGACAACCCAAAATCAGAACCGGAAAAAATTCCTTGCAATCACACATCTTGTACTGAAATTAGACTAAACGATTATCCATGTTCTGTGATTTGTTTAAAATAGCAGACACCTGTATGCTTTTATGTGATTTGTTTAAAATAGCAGACACCTGTATGCTTTTTCTGTAGAAAAGCATCCATTCACCAATTAAAAAAGAGACAGATGAAGATAGGTAAAGCATGCAAAGCCTAATTTTAGAGCACAGACAAGAGCAATTTCAGTTCATCTAGGAGGAAACATCTCTTTAATGACAAAATTAAGGATTTAAGATCAAAGCCAGTCATATAGTCATTACACAAAAAAAATGTAATCAGGTGATAAACTGCAACTGCTGCTGGTAATATTCCTTCCCCCTGAGATATAAGAACAAGGAGGATATAGAACTAAAGTCTGATCTTGAAGATTAATTCAGCGATCATGGGAATTCCACCACCTTGTATTAGGATTCAGACCAGAGCTGGAGAAACATAATTTTTAGTGCCAGAGAAGCCTCCTAGCAATACTCAGGAGAGAGAAAAAGAGGGGTAATATACAAAACCAAGCGCAGGGAATTAAAATTCTTCTCATTATGAAGGCAAGTGCTGAGCTGTATAGACAGAAATGTACAAAACAGAGAACCTTCAAGGCAAACGAAGGGAGCTAGCTGTGGTGCAGCAAAAGTCAAGTCTCAGCTGACAATATCATATACCCAAAGCACAGCACCGATGACTAACACACCACTGTTAGTTCATCTATGTGTTTGGCCCTGTATTAAATAAAAATCTAGATTTTGAAGGGAATAAATAAACGTTCCTTATACAAATAAGCTCTTAAAAAAGAAAAAAGATATTAAGTTCCCCTTAAGCTCATGATACTCAGTTTCAAAATTTAACTGAGATGCTGGACTGGAACACTAGGCCTTTAGCTTCCTGAGTATGATTCATATTTCAAAGCAAGGCAAATAAATGCTAGCAGCAACAACAATCAAATCTGAGCAAAAACACACACTGAAGACGTGTTCAGGATATTACAGAGGGCAAAATCATAAACTGCTTAACAATTCTTTTCTGCCCAACTGATTTTTTGTTCCCTCCCCCTTTTAAATCCAAACAGCTGACAAAGTCAACGACGACTTCTACACCAAACGCCGACATCTCGCAGAACTGGCTGCCAAGGGGAGCCTTCCGCTGCACCCGGTGCGCATAGAGGAAGACAGAGCGTACACAATCGACAGTGGCTTAACCAAACAGAACGGGCAGAAATCCAAAATGGCAAAGATACACACACACCCGTTAGGCTACAATTCCCATTACAAGACCTGGGATCCAAACGACCAGTCTCTTAGACGGCAAGCATATGCAAACAAGGGGAAATACAGTATGGGAGACCCAACATTAAGTGACCCACTGACAACGCGGAGTCAGAATTATTTGGGTCCACAGCCATACTTCATAACCAACAGCAAGACAGAAGTAACTGTTTGAGCTTTTCTTTTCCTTTTTTTTTTTTTTTTTTGTAAAGAAATCCTTTAAAAAACACATGCAAATATAACACACAACACACTCGACTGAAAGGCAAAAAATAAATTTTAAAACATAAAAAGGAAAAAACAAAACAAAACAAACAACCCACAGTGGAATGAAGAAAGCAAGCAAGGAAGGAAGGAAAGAAAGATGGAAGGAAGCTCCACCTGGACATTCTTGGTATCCAGCTAACTAGACCGAAGAGTGAGTGAATACCATTCAGCAATACACACTGAAGGTTGAATTATAAACTACATTTGTATTTCACAACGGAGCATAAACCCTTGTGACTAAATTTTTTTACTTGAAACTAAAATCCATGATGAGAAGTAGCACAACCTAGAGAAATTTTATGTCTGCTTAAACATTTACTCTATGTACCTGCCTTGAGACAGTGGAAGAAGAGAAAACAATACACTGTAATATATTATTTCAGTGAGGAATTTTGTATAAAACCTATTAACAGTCGATCACTAGGCCCATGAAAAGTCAAGACCAAACATCTTGGTACAACTCAGAACATCAATTATCATACTTTCATCCCATTCTATAGAAAGTGCAAAAAATATTTATACAGTAAGAAAGACTCTTTCATGTGGAATTTATGAAGACTGTTACATTTTAGAGCACATACAATCTTTCCAGCTGACAGTATAGAATTCTGAGGGATAATAACAATCAGCAGAGGATTTTGTTTCAGTTTACTTTGAAATTTTTGGGATCCTTCAAAATAAGAAGAGACACTTCATGCGACACAGACAGCTGCTGGGGGAATAAGGGCATCAAAACATTCCCTCTCAGTCCTCCTGTTTTCAGGCAGATGGTAACAATTCTCACTTGGAAGACAGTCAGGACTTTTTCTTCACCTATATGTTTTGCCTATCTTCAAATGCTTCAGACTGAAAATAAGCGTGGGTGGTGCCTTTACTGTATTACTATTGTTCAATGACAGTCTTGTTTCTTCAAGTGACCCCTTTGTCCCTTTATGCTATTTCCTCATGTTTTGCTAAGGATGACAAGGGCTCTGCCCTGCTCAGCCCCCTCTGTTTGTCCTGAAGGGAAACTGGACTATGTCTCCAAGCAGCAGTTGCAGTCAGGTTGCACTATTTAGTTAGACCCCTCCATTTTCCTAGTTTAAACTTTTGCCCTTTAGTCTGGCATTTTGTATTTGCTTTTAGCCATGGTAGTTCTTTCTTTGTAGTTCAATTAAATGTTATATGGTATATTGTCTCTACTGTTTAGCTCTCTATAGTGGCGTTCCCTCTTGGTGGACTATTTGATGGAAGAGTCTACTGGACTAGCCTCAAACATCAAAGAGGTTTGGGTTTAAACTACTCAACTCGATTTGTGGTCTCAGCTGAGGCTCTGATGAGATGGATGCCTTGTTTATGAGTAAAACCACTCCCTAATTGGTCCCTGGTAGCAGCCTCACAGCACCAGGCCTGTAAGGCTTCTGCAAATCCCCAATAAGGTAAGCAGAACTGGGATGGTAGGCAGCATGTTCAGTTTTTCACTTAAATTCCTGCCCTTCTCCCTGACCTGAATCCTAACTAGCTATCTTACTACAGCTGAATTCTCAGTAGCTGTCAGTTATTCCTGAGATAAGTTGTGGAAGGGTATGCAGGGAGGAGTGAGAACTGTGATGTTGTAAAAAGAATGTGAAGTGGCATTTCTTACTGTACTCAAGTGACTGGCAGCATTTCTTTTTAGCCCAAAGGATGCAAGGGCTATGAATGTGAAATACAGTTAAATGGAAAGATCATTTTTTCTAAGCTATGTTGAGATTGACATGTATTCTGAGAGCATCAGCATCTCTCCATAAGCGTGCTGCTAAACTATATCATCATCTATTTTAAGACTATCAGAATTGGACAAAACCCAGGGGACAAATACTTTGCACAAAACCCAGACTCTCTATTATCTTAATTTTATTCTTTTAATCTCTATTGCCTTCACAACTGGCTTAATTTGACCCTTTATGGAATGTTGCCGTTAATCCATTTGCTTTAGATAACACTTTACAGCTGCACTGTAATTCACAGAGGTTTCGTGTAACTTAAGAATATTTTATGTGGAAATATTTTAGTAACTGTATGTTCTGTAAGGAAACCCGTGTTAATACTTGTTAACTACAGAGTTTATGATACCAATAATACTTCCTACAATAAAGATGTTTGTTTGTTTTTTTAAGAATGTTTATTTGTAAACATATGTATTCACTATATTAATATGAATTTCTTACCTGGCAATAAAACTGATTCTATGTGAATCCAACATGCTGGCTGATTTGTTAGCTTTTGCCATTGGATCAATTTTTGATTATTAACTGAGCTTCTGTATCTTCTCACTGCAGTCAACAGCATTCACCTCAGCAAAAATGAAGGTATGACTGCCATTGGTAATCTTGTGAACAAGGTTCTTGGGAAAGTACACACATACTGCATATGTTACTCAAGTGCAATGTATGTTACACTCAGGATAACAATACATACAATGCATGCACGCCTTGCAAAGGTCCATTTGACCTATAAACATCCAAGCTCACGCACAGCTTGTGCCACTTCATCAAAAAATTAGTTTTGGGGAAAGTAAAAAAGATGCACAGGGTCTGATTTTGTTCCTCATGACTGCATGGGAGTTTTACAGTAAGCTTCAACTGCATCCCAGGACTAAAACTACCCAACAAGTACAGATGAAACACTGGTGTATATTGCTTCAATTTTTCTTAGCATGTTCACTACTGAAAAACCTGTATGCAACAACTGTGTACCAAGCCAGCTGGAACAGAATGGTCATTTATGGACTCTCATTACTGTTTATGGCTCATAAACCTGACCACAAACAGAATCTCAGAAAAAGAGTGTTTTGGTAACAACTTCTGTTTACTTTGCTACAAAGATGTTGGGTGAGTTTCAGCAGGAAAAACAAGGAATCAGCTTCCTTTCAGCTTTCCTTCCTTAAAATGCCAGAGGGCATTTTCAAATATGTTCAAGTATTCCTCTGTCCACTTCTTTTCATTCCCCTATCATGCTCACTCCACTGCACTGTTTCTCTCCTATATATCATATCCTTCCCACTAAATCATAATAGTCTCTTGGACAAAACAAAAGGCATCTTCTCTGGCTCCACCCTCTGAAAGCTTGCCTCCCTCCACAGACCTGTATCACATTCATTTCTCTATCTTCATTTGCAGCCACTCATTTTAAGTTAGTAAGTTCTCCACTATTTTCTCAATTGTATTCCAGGGCTTATTCTTACTGTTGCTTGTATGATGCTGATCTTATTCACCTAAGTTTCCTGGGGCGTACCTATTCATTTCTATACAGTTTGCAGTACTTTTGGTAGCTACAGAGTTTCACAGTGCTTGGTAGTGAGGTCTCCACTAGTAGCAATGTCTACTCATCTTCAATAAAACCTCACTGAAAATAAGATAAGCACCTATCCCACAGACAACCACAGATCTCACTGACTTCTCACAGCTTCAGCTATCTTTGACTTCCCACATCATCCTCTAAGTAACCACACTGAAATCAGGTTTCTAACCTCTCATTTCTCTGCTCTTCACTCTTCTCAAGCTCAATACCCTGCATGTAATATCAGCTCTCCACGTTTGTTTTTTCTTCATGTGTAAGCCTGAACCTTTTGTCACCACGAACAAGAACTGCATTGTAAGTAACTTCTGACTTACAATGTTGTAAGAAATTCAGTATTTCTTCTGTAAGTCTCCCTGATATTAACTCAGTACCTCATTATACCCAATAATGTGTGTCATCAAGAAACGAAGATGTTCCATATACAAAGCTATCAGGTCTCATAACATTCCACACTGTAGCTGCAAATGTTTCCGACTCACTACAGAAACAGATCTAGGAAAAGATTCATGCTTTGTTCTAATTTTACAGAATGATTCATGAGTCTGGAGTACTAAATAAACAACCCTACTCCAAAATTATTGCACAACTAATCTGCAGGACCACTCACAACACTGTCCCAGTTTAGAAGAAGTGAACTACATTCGTACCATATTCCTGTTAGGTTCAGATCGCACTGTCTACTGTCCTACCTGAAGAGATGAAGATGATTCTTCATGTCACACTGCAGTTTCTGCTACAGGTAGTGCACAGAGGAGCAGAGAAGTCTAATCCGATGGCTTAGAATACAGATGCAAGCTTACCTCCAGTGTTCACCCATAAGCAATGTTTTCTTGAGAATAGGCTTCACTTATATTTCACAAAGAAGAGATAGAGACTGCACAATGTTATTTTAACAAAGGCAGTTTGGATTCTCACTCACAGGGCACATCTCTTGTTGCACTTGAGTTCTGGTCTACTAGACTGCACAACCAGTTCAGCTGGCTCTCCTGCTACACGTTGTGAAGGACTATGTTTCCGAGCAAAATGGCAGATGAGTGTGACCAATGAGGGGAAATAAATTTGAACGTTTTATGCTAAAACACAAAATCAATTCATGTGAAAAATTTAGCATAATAGCACAGTAATCTCAGCCTATGGACTGGGGGGGGAAGTCAGTAAATGCTATTACAGCCAGAAGCCCAGGGGAAATTTTTCTGTGTAAACATCAATATACAGCTCTAATTTGAAAAGTGGTTGTAAAAAAAAATTCTTGGAACTCACACTTTATGTTTTAGAGAATCCCAGACTTGAATTTGCTCAGTCTGCGAGTAAGATATGTCCTTACACCTGCCAAATTCAATCCAGAATACGTGCCTTAAACCAAGACTTTACTGCCCCCATCCAGCTGCACTAATGAAAGTCAGGACCAAATCAGATGTTTATATTCTGAATTTGCAAAAGCTGCCAGCAGACAAAAGGCAGCTGACAAGGCACAGTAGTAAATGCTTCCATAGAAGATGCACCATGAATTATTTTACACATATCACTCAATTCTGCTGGCTTTGTCAGGTTAGCAAAACATAAGAAATATATTTACCACCAGTGCCCACAAATCACACTACTTTACACTGGAAGGAAATCAAACCCAGACCTAGCTCTCAGGCTTTTTTCTATGTCATTATTTGCCAAATAAACATTATCGGAACAGTCTAGGGCTCCCTGAAAAAGGCCTTCTCTATCCCAGGACACCACTCTTCT